AATTGGTGGGCCTGCAGGTCTAGTGCAACAAGGCGTTATGGCACATCAATCAAGTAGCTGGACAGAGATCAGTAAGGGGTCTGGTCAGACAACAGTTGGGGCTGTCCATCCATCCAAATCGATCAATGGAATGGGTCATGGTCAGTCCTGGGGTTCAGCTCAAAGGAATTCAAGGGAGGTGATGGGGATGTTTTCAGGAATCACTGTTGGAGGGAAATTAATTCTGGGGAATGGGGACGGGGATCTGGGAAGGTAAAATAATGGAAAGGGGGGGGGGGGGAATCAACACAAGGGTGGTAGACAATTGCACAGTGGAGACACTTGGTACTCAAAATCAAAACTACCAAATGTAAGATATGAAAAATAAAATATATAAGTTAATTCAGTTGTATACGTAAGAGGGAGGTGCGGGGGGAGAAGAGGAGGTTGGGGTGGGGGGGGGGGGGAGGGGGAAGAAGAAAGAAGAGGGGAGGAGGAGGAAGAAGAGGAGGAGGGGAAATAAAAGAGGGAAAACAGAGTAACAATGGTGAGTTTCTTTCATTTGTACTCAAGTCTGTGGTGAGATTTGAAGTCACAATTTATTACTTGACATGGAGGGTTTCATGCACTGGCATCCCAAACTCATTACCCATGTACAAGATGCCTAAGGCACCCCCTTGCCATATTCATCAACTTATTGTGGGCAGAAATACTTGATGCTGCTAGGACATTACAGGATTCTGCTCTATTTAAAAAGCAATTGTGCACTGCATCAAGTGTTCCAAGTCCACAGCTACCCTGCACAGTCTGACTTACTTATCCCCGAAAGGGCAGATAATGGGAAATTATTGCCCTGCTTTGTGGTCAAGAACCCAGAGATCCTGGTGGACGGGGTAATTCTTCACCCAGGTCTAACAGAAATCCGTGACACCAGACCCTGTCAGAGGTTGCCACTCAGGTCAGTGCAATCTCAGACCAGAATAACACCTAGCAGTGTAGGAAAGTCAACAATCTTCTCAGTTATACAGGGTAAGTGCCACCATCTTCTTTCTACTACCTCAGATTCACTAATTCATTTATTCTACCTCTGAAGAAAAGAAACAAGGATGCCTCAGAGAATGTACCAACAAGACTGCCCCCGCATCCTCCATCAACTCAGATACTTAACTCTCAGTGGACAGGTTAGCGAGATTAGAGTGAGGAGCACCTGCAGTGAGCACCCCAGTGCTGTATTTCCCCAGCTGGCCAAGGGAGAAACATACCAGGTCACTGGCACTTGGATGACAGCCGGAGACCAGACACCTGCTCAGTCCTAGGCAGGAGAGGACCTGATGGCGTCATTAATTGACTTCATAAAAATGCACATGCAGACACAGGTGCAGTAGGGATGTATGTCCAACTGACACCAAGGTTGTAGGACAGCTCCAATGCCAATGAGATCAGGCATAAGAATATCTGGAGCCTCCGTGGTCAGGGTGGGGACTGCTATGGAGAGCCAGGTCCAGCACACTTGTGGCCTGATGGACATATCTAAAAACTTGTCACCCACTTCTCCAATCATTATTGCTTAGCACCAAAAACAAGGTGACAGGGAGAACTGGGCAGGGGTGGATTGAAACTTGACCTCACTCCAGGTGCTCCTTCCTCACAAGATAAGGTGATGTCAGTAGGCACCCTACCGGAGTAGTGAACCATGTGCAGTTAAACCCACCCACCCACCACCAACCCTTCCCGAAGCCTCCTCTAAGGACACTCCAGAAATGGGTCGGTCTTCCAATTCCACTCTGCCTGCAAAAGCTCAAGCCAAGAAGGGTGCACCTTCCTCTGGCAGGATACACAATGTCTGTGCCCTCTAGCCACAAATACCTGACCAAAACTCCAAGGCCAATGGGTTCCAATAAAGAGCAAGATCGGAAGCTGAAAGTCCTTGACTGCTGAAGTGTTCCCCGACTGGGAGGGAACATTCCTGTCTGGCAATTGTTGCGCGGTGTCCATTTATCCGTTGTCATGGAGTCAGCATGGTCTCGCCAATAAACCATGCCTCAGGGCATCCTGGCCTTCAGTGCATGAAGTAGCCAACAGTGGCCGAGTCACATGAGTATCTGCTATGTATATGATGGGTGGTGTTCCCACATGTGATGGTAGTATCCATGTCAATGACCTGGCATGTCTTGCAGAGGTTGCCATGGCAGGGTTGGACGGTGTTATGGTTGCTGTTGTCCTGAGAGCTACGTAGTTTGTTGCAAATGATGGTCTGTTTAAAGTTTGGCGGTTGTTTGAAGGCGAGAATTGGGGGCATACGGATGATCTTGGTGAGATGCTCATTGTCATCGATGACATGTTGAAGGCTGCAAAGAACATGGCGTAGTTTCTCTGCTCTGGGGAAGTACTGGACAAAGGGTACTCTATTGGTCATGCCCTGTGTCTGTCTGCTGAGGAGGTAGTTGCGGTTTTCCACTGTGGCACATCAGAACAATCACCAGACAGGAATGTTCCCTCCCAGTAGGGGAACTCTTCAGCAGTCAAGGACATTCAGCTCCTGATCTTTGGGTAAGCGTCCTCCAAGGCAGCCTTCGAGATATACAAAAACACAGAATCCCTGAGCAGTAACTGATAGCCAAGTTCCATGCCCATGAAGACAACCTCAACAGTGATCTTGGGTTCATGTCACGCTACATGTGACCTCACCACTCTGTTCTGTATTTGTAAAATCTTCCTTACCGTCCTGTTTTAACATCATCTCCTTGATAGCAAGTTATGATCTCTCTACCTTAATTAGTTTGTATAGTTTTGGATTAGGTGTTACTATGGTTAGACCCTTGGCATGCAACTTTTATACCCATGTTGTTATTCCAACTGTTTGTTTGGTCTCCAGCACCACCTTATTTCTATTTTTTTGTAATTATCTCTGCCTCAATTAATTGAATTATAGGTCATCCCTTTTATGTACTATTCAGCTGTCAAAACTTTACTCACACCGTCTGACACTTTTGATCACGTACAGAGACTTATTATTCAGCCTGTTGACACTCCACTCACCATTTCTCTGCCATTGACCTCTCTGCCTTTAAATCCTTAGCCTGAATACTTTTCTTCACTTCACCTGACGATGGGGCAGTGCTCCGAAATGTTTTGATTTTGAATAAAGCTGTTGGACTATAACCTAGTGGAGTTTAACTTCTGACCTTGTCTTGCTGCAACACAATATAGAAGTTGCAAGCTTTGCTATACAATGTCTTCTAGTCCAAAGTGCGAATTCCGCAGCTCAGCTTCCAATTTGGAAGATGCTTACTACTTTGGCAATAAGGGTGGATCATTCCAAGCCACAATACACTACTTGTGCAACATCACAACCATTAGTGTGATTAATTCCTGATCCTGCAAGATATGGTCAAATGTGCTCAGGACCAGGATTTGTACTCCACAAGGAAGACTAATGCCCAAGGTTCACATATTACATGTAACACTCATAGCCACTTATCACCTCTACTGTGCGGGGGTGTGTGTGCAATGCTGTTGCTCTTTGAAGGAGCTCACATCGCTGAAAGTGAACTCCCTCCCTCACAGAATGAAACACTAACCCCAACTTTACACACCCCAGCCTCAGCATATCAAGTCAAAATGCTGATATAGAAGTTCACTTACTCCCCTTTCCCTACCCATCGAAACCAGGGTATTTCTAACGGTTGTTGAATCCTTGCCTGCCTACGTGACCTTTCCCCCTCAATTCTCTGTTGCTTCCTCATGCTATAGACTGAGTTGCCCCCGTCATAATTGTTACCCCCATGCATCCCAAGTATCCTGTCTACAATCCCCATAAGTGAGTTCTCCAGTTTCCTTCCTAAAGTAGTGACACCTGATAACCCCCACTTGACTTTTTGTGAATGAAGCCACAGGACTGACCACTGTCCACCCTGCCTGACTTAAATGAGTGACCTGAACGATGAGTGACCAGACCCCTGAATGATCTCTGTGCAACTCATTGCCCGACTTCCCACAAGGGCCTAGACTCTTTTTTGCACTAGACCCTACTCCCTAGACTGAGGGGGAGGAATGGTTGCCCTCCTCATGACTGCCTCAAACAGTAGACTGATTATGCCCAAGCCCCTAAACTGATACTGAAGTTACTTTTGTCTTATTGTATTGGGAACATCTGACTAAAGAGTGCCTCCCTTGACTTGACTGAGAACTACACCCTTCGCACTTTGAGACATGGCCACTCACTTAATGCACACTTAGTGTGTTTGCCCCCTTGAATGATGACAAGATTGATAAGATGTCTAGCTTTGCGTCTGCATTAAAAGGCAAGGCAAAATAGAAGTACTGTGAACCTTTAATTTTTGGCTCAGGGACAAAGTACAAAAATGCAAGGCAAGGCAGATACACCGAGCACATGAAGTACATGCAAAAAGTGAGTGAGCGCTAAGAGTGCAAGCGAGTGTCCCTGAGCCGGAAAAGCATGTAAATGAAGCAAAATTAACTAAATGAGATGTTAATTCATTCATTCAAAAAAAAAAAGGCCTTTCCCCACTCACTAGTGAGAATCTTGTCTCTCCACTCAATATTTGTCTGCAAAATGGGACCTTTCACTCTCAATGTTGAGAAACTCCTTGCTGGCTACCTTATGTGATTATCCTAACTTTCTTGTCATGACCCATGTCATTCAGAGGCTGGGAAGATTTTGCACAAGAGTATAAACAGAGCTCCAAACAGTTTCTTCTTGCTTATGTCTCGATACACCTGCATTATTGGACCTGATAATTCACTCATTAAAAGCTATCCCTCTGAAATATGTCTTTTCATTACCTCTTCTTCAAAACCTCTAACATATATCGCCGAAGCTAGGATATTGATCTCGTTCAAAATTTCTTCAATTCTCGCTTAAAGATATTCTTTCATATGAGGACCACTAAAGATGCGTATAATGACAACAGGAAGCCATATACTGTAGAATAAAATGGTAATTATATTTACCAGGGACAAGATCTACACAATGTCAGATAAGTTTTCTAACAACTTACAGTCTTTCAGGTTGAAATCATTGGGAGCCTTGGCAGACCACAATCTCATGGTGTTGACAGTGTTATTCTTAAATCCCGGCACTGGAGTATCATATGGCATGGCAAGGACAACCTGTTTCCATTAGTACAAGGTCATTAGTTGGCACGTAGGATTTTTCATCAGAAACAGTGATGCAATATTTTCCAACAACAATTAAATACAGTTATATTATAGCTTTTAGTTTCAATGCAATTTTGTTTTTACTTGTACTGGATGTTAATTACTTTCCTTGAGATTCAGCTATTCAGTCATACTTTACCATTCAATTAGATTCTGGCTGACCTTAACTCCATTTATTCTCCACTGTTCTATCTTAACTACCTTACTCAACAAAATTCCATTGATTCAGTCTTCAAAGTGCAATTGTTTCCCTGCAGCTATGCTTCCGTAGAATAAGGAATTCCACATTTCCACTGTGTCTTGCAGATCAGTCCTCAGTCTCCCAAACTCAAAAGGAATTTGTCACCATTTGTAAGCTATCTTTGCAATTTAACTTTCCAAATCTCTTATTCTGATACAGTTGCACTGTATCCCCTTGAAAGTCTTATTCCGGAGATGCAGTGCCCAGAACTGCGCCTGTTACTTCAGGTAGCATCTGACGAAGGCACTGTACAATGGCTGCATGATTTCAACCACCTCTTTGCATTCTAGCTCCCTCAAGATGAAGACCAACATTCCTTTTCATACCTATATATTACTAAAGGGTTTACTGTAGAGTATAATTGTTTTTTCCTTTCCTGTTATGCTTTTCCAATCTACGGGCAGTCTCAGGGTTGCAAATAGATTCCTTCTTGAATCTGTTTGCAAGTCAACACAATGTTGAACAATACAAAATAGCCATTTGTAAGTATAAGAAAATGTTCATTTGGCAGATCTTTAAAATTAGTATTAATACACCCCTGTATGGGATCACGCATGTAAGTACGAGAGCGCATAAGCTGCATGTTCATAAATCAGTGACTGTCTGTAATATTTCAGTGTCACATCTCTCGATGCACCATCAATTGAAGACAAAATCTTGTTTCTTTTTCAGACTCTTAGCTACTTGTGTGAAGGGTGAACAACTTAAAGTAATTTTAATGGAATGACTCAACACTGGCAGCCAGCACCACCACCTGTTGCTGTCAGGAATTGAGACTAAAATACTGTAGCAGAGAATGGTAGATTATAGACTCATTTCATTTCTCAATTGGAAACAAAAATCAAAATATCTACTTGAAAGGAAAAACTTGAACTATGGGGAGGAAAACTGGTAACTGGGAGCTAAGTGAATAGTTCTTTCAGAGAGTGATAAGCGTTTTCTGACTGTGTGATTATGTGTATACATTCCCCAGCTGTTATTTTCACACAAAAAGATTTGAAAACAGAACTCTCATCCCTCCAAACAAAATGTGAAGATTCAAGGGGCTGAAATAGCTGATTCCTGTTCCCTTAGCAAAAAAGTCACATCATCAAACCAAGTTTCTGAAGAAGGGTCTAGGCCCGAAACGTCAGCCTTCCTGCTCGGCCTGCTGTGTTCATCCAGCTCTACACCTTGTTATCTATGACTGAAATCTGTGGTTTGTTCCTAAAGCTCCTATATATTACAGGTTATGCAGTACATACCTGAGTATCAACCCATCTGATGCCATCTGCAGCACGTTCGACCCGCCCATAGAAATGAACAGGAAGCATGTATTCGGGCCGTGCCTTTTCCCATGGGTTACCGTAGCGCAGCCAATCATCAGCTTCTTCTACCTGCAAAGAAAATTTTAAAAGCTATTCTTAAACAACATGGACTAAAATGGTTGCAAAGTATTATCACCTACTGAATGTTCTTGTTTTCTAAAGGTCTATTTATTTTCTAGTTTAGAAAAAAATGATCAAAATGAATATAAAATATAAAATGCAAGCACTAATTTTTGGTACAAGTATTAAAGGAGTAGATTACATAGAGTATATGACAATGGAACAGGTCACTCCACTTAGATCTATGCCAACGTTATGCTCTACTGGTGTCTTCTCCTGGAGAGCTGGTTAGCTCAATTGGCTGGACAGCTGATTTGGGCTGCAGAGTGATGTCATTAGTACAAGTTCAATTCCCATGTGTGAGACCACGAGGTCCTGCTTTCTCAGCTGGTGGTGACCTTCAGGCTAAACTCTATCAGATGTCCCTTTCTAATGAGCGCACAGCCTGTGGTCCTATGGCAATTTTCATTTTATTCCTCATCTAAATCTAAATCTATCATTGTAACCATCAAATGCAGGTCTAGTTTCTCCTTAACAACATTTATGCCATTTGCTTCAACCACTCCCTATGCTAGCAAGTTCCAAATTTTTGCCACTCTTTGGGTGGAGCCTCTTCTGAATTACCTATTGGATTTTGTGATGACTATCTAATATTAATGGCCTGTATATTATGGTCTCCCCTAGAAGTGGTAACATTCTTTTAGATCTACCCTATGATAATGTTTATGATATTTATTAAATCTGCCTTAGACTTATTTTAAAAGAAAGAAAAAAGTCAGATCAACAGCACAGACCGATCCTGTTCATCATTTCCTATATACACTCTTGTATTTCTAGTATAATCATAGCAAATCTTTTCTGCACCCTCTCCAGCCCAACTTTCCCAGCTCCCACATGGACAATGGTGAGGTTGTTCAGAAAGACTGGAAACAAAAAGGGTTGCTTGACAACAATGAAAAAATGTCCAACTTCCCACCCAAGGTTTAAACAGTGAAGATGACAATCTTGCTAGCAAGCAGTGAGGCCTAATTTCACACAGTTACATCTCATTGCATATAAATGAGGTGATATTAGGTACCAATTTCCTATTCTCCCACTCAGCAAAGAAAAACTAAACAGGTAATTCCTGACATGAAAGTCAGAGCGGGTGCCTGGCAGCACCAGCCTCCATTTTGGGTAGCAGTTCCCAACATCTCAGATATTGCCCATAGAGTGTACGCTACGTGCACCACCCATCCACAGAGATTGGAATCAGACATATACCAGCATCACCATATCATCATGCCACACTTTTAGACTTATTAGAATAGAGATCACCACTTCAGTGCTGAACCTGGGTGTGCACCAACAGTGCAATGATGCTTCCAGGCTGCTTTTCCCACACGGCCAGGAACCTGTCTAGCACGTTGGCATGGTTTTGAGCAGTAATCTGTCAAGGAGGTGGACAGATTGCTGTATGGCACTGTATTACATCAATGTCACACCTACAATATTTGTCAGCAGCTTACGTGGTAAATGCATGATCATTTGGCTGAAGCATGGACATGTCTCAAAGTCTATGGGGAGTAATCTTTAGTCAAGAAGAAGCATGGTTAGTCAGGGGTGTCACTGACGTCAGTCAAGAACACTGACCTCAGTACAGGGGCTCAGACACGGTCAGTTAGCTACTTGGGGAAGTCAGGGTCTACGGTTCTGTATTGCCACAGTATGAGGGTGCTGGAAATTGTCAGTCCTGTAATCCAATGTAACCAGTTCAGGGATTAGTGGTAAGTCAACTCGGGAGCTGCACTGATACCAGTCACTCATCAGGTAGGGTCAAGGGTCATAGACCACAGTCAGTCCTTGGGGGAACCACTCTGAGAATCCTCCTGGAGTTTCAGTGAGGCCAACACTGTGGTGGGGGAGTTGAGAAAGTGAAATGTGGAAATTGGAGGCAGTACGTTGGGATGCAAAAGGGACAAACTAGTTAAGGGAGACAACTGAAAGCAAGTGAGAGTGGGGTATCATCAATAGCCACCGTCGCCTTGATTTTGAATACTGACAGCTCACGTTATAAAAACCATGAGCTTCCAACATTCTCCAAACAGGTACATAGGAACCATGACCAACAGATTCAGCTACAGAGGCCATCGTTACTATGGCCATGGTACAACAAAAGCACGGAGAATTGAGGAAGAACAGGTGTGTCAGCAAGCCAGGACCAGCACCAATCTGCAGTAGAACCACCTTCATGTGAAGAAGTCACAGCTGACTAGCCTTTCAGGACACAAAGGTATAGGAGCTCCATGAGCAGGAACTCCTCAGTGCCATTTCCTCCAAGTGAGCACAGTGCACTGCTGCCACAGATTTAGGATGCCCTTTGACACCACCACAGAATTAGGCCATCTATAGGAGCGAGATTTATGGCCTGAAGGGGTGGATGAACCGAGTTCTGAGGAAGGGTCACCGAACCTGAAATGTTAACTGTTTTTTCCTTCACAGATGCTGCCAGACCTGCTGAGCTTTTCCAGCAACTTTGTTTTTGTTCCAATAGACAGTAGTTGGATGAAGTGATCATTTGTTGCTGCTCGATAGACAAACAGCACCTGTTAGTTCCTAGAAACAAACTCAACTTTTTTTCTGAGATAGTAGGAACTGCCGATGCTGGAGAATCTGAGATAACAAGGTGTAGAGCTGGATGAACACAGCAGGCCAAGCAGCATCAGAGGAGCAGGAAACCTGACGTTTCGGGTCGAGACCCTTCTTCAGAAACGGGGGATGGGTAGGGGATTCTGAAATAAATAGGGAGAGAGGGGGAGGCGGATAGAAGATGGATAAAGGAGAAAATAGGTGGAGAGGAGACAGACAGGTCAAAGAGGCGGGGTTGGAGCCAGTAAAGGTGAATGTAGGTGGGGAGTTAGGGAGGACGGACAGGTCAAGGAGGCGGGATGAGGTTAGTGGATAGGAGATGGGGATGGGGCTTGAGGTGGGAGGAATGGTTAGGGAGGCGGGGACGAGCTGGGCTGGTTTTGGGATGCGGTCAGGGGAGGGGAGATTTTGAAGCTTGTGAAGTCCACATTGATACCTTTGGGCTGCAGGGTTCCCAAGCTAAATAGGAGATGCTGTTCCTGCAGCCTTCGGGTGGCATCAGTGCGGCAATACAGGAGGCCCAGGATGGACATGTCATCCGAGGAGTGGGAGGGGGAGTTGAAATGGTTCGCGACTGGGAGGTGTAGTTGTTTGTTGCGAACCGAGCATAGGTGTTCCACAAAGTGGTCCCCAAGCCTCCATTTGGTTTCCCCGATGTAGAGGAGGCCACAATGGGAACAGCGGATACAGTATACCACATTAGCAGACGTGGAGGTGAACATCTGTTTGATGTGGAAGGTCTTCTTAGGGCCTGGGATGGGGGTGAGGGGGGAGGTGTAGGGGCAGGTGTAGCACTTGCTGTGGTTGCAGGGAAAAGTGCCTGGGGTGGTGTGGCTGGTGGGGAGTATGGAGCGGACAAGGGAGTCACAGAGAGAGTGGTCCCTCCAGGAAAGCAGATAAGGGTGGAGAGCGAAAAATGTCTTTGGTAGTGGGGTCGTATTGCAGATGGCGGAAGTGTCGGAGGATGATGCGTTGGATTTGGAGGTTGGTGGGGTGGTATGCGAGGACGAGTGGGATTCTTATTTGGTTGTTATTGCGGGTAGGGGGCGTGAGGGATGAGTTGCAGGAAATGAGAGTTACGTTGAGGGCGTTTTCAACTGCTATGGAGGGGAAGTTGCAGTCCTTGAAAAACGAGGACATCTGGGATGTCCGGGAGTGGAACGCCTCATCTTGGGAGCAGATGCGGTGGAGGCGAAGGAATTAGGAATAGGGGATGGCATTTTTGCAGGAAGGTGGGTGAGCAGAGGTGTATTCTAGGTAGCTGTGGGAGTCGGTAGGCTTGAAATGGATATTGGTTTCCAGGTGGATGCCAGAGATGGAGACAGAGAGGTCCAGGAAGGAGAGAGAGGTATCAGAGATGGGCCAGGTGAACTTAAGGTTGGGGTGGAAGGTGTTAGTGAAGTGGATGAACTGTTCGAGCTCCTCGTGGGAGCACGAGACGGCGCCGATACAGTCATTGATGCAACGGAGGAAGAGGTGGGGGATAGGGCCAGTGTAGCTTTGGAAGAGGGATTGTTCCACGTATCCTACAAAGAGGCAGGCATAGCTTGGGCCCATGCAGGTACCCATGGCCACCCGCTGTGTCTGTAGGAAGTGGGAGGAATTGAAGGAGAAGTTGTTAACTTTTTTTCTGTTTGCTTTTGCTGTCATTTGAAAAATATTAATTTTTAACTGTTTGAAGGCTTTCCAAACTGTGATGCTCCTGCATTGAACAATGATATGATATTACGCTACACACAAATGTTAGAGAAAACAGTAGCCCTCCCTTACACAGGGCTCTAACATGGTATAGGATTAAGGACAGGTAGCCTGTGCAGCTTGATTCTTGTATCTGCAGTTACAATTATAATTTGTTAGCTATTGATGTAAAATAGCAACAAATTTACCAATGTGAGCTTTTATTAGCATTGAAATGACACATAGGTAGCACAGATGACTTTAGAAGCTGCTCTTTCTAGTTTCCCTCCCACTATGTATATACTTGAAACACTGTGTGGCTGATAGCAATTGATGACTTGATGCACAGCTGGGCTTTAAATATAGTAGCAGTGGCACAAATCCTGGAAGTTTCCAGCCATGGCAAGTACTTCTGCTACTCGTGAGTACACAAAGTGCACGCATGGCACCATATAGGCATGGTACATATGTGAGCAGTGCAAGATTGCATCAGTTAACTCACTTGTGCTTGTGGACAGACACCCTCAATGAAACTTCCTGGAATTGATACTTAGCTGATTTTTGGTAAAATTCAGCCCTATATCCTTTTTAGAACATGGCACCCAGAACTAGATGCAGTACCCAAGGTTTCATACGGCTTTTCAATTCAAACCCATTAAAAATAATGTCTAATTCTGGTTTGCCTTTTATAAAACAAAATGGCTGTCATTACCTGTGTTACAGTTTTTAGTGATTGCCATACTTGCACTTCAAGAGCCCTTTGTTCCTATACCCCAACTAACGATTGCACTTTATAATTAATGACATGTATTCTTCTTATAAAATGTATCGCTTCATATTTATCTGCACTGAACTTCACTTCCCAATTATTTACTCCTTCTGTGAAGGATTTATCATGTAATTTGTTGTAGTCTGCCTTTATATTATGTCCCCTACCACACTTATGTTTGGTGTTTTCTGCAAATTCAGGAATTGTGCTTTTGAGAGGTGACACTCATATCAATGAACTACAGAGTGTTGTATATATTATGTTCTTGATCATTTATTCTCCATTTTACATCTCATGGAAACAATCTAGTCTCAGAACTTTGGAAATGCATTACATAACAGGTTGCATAGAGTGCCAATTGTAGCTTCATGGTAACTATTTCTCATCTCAGAGAGAAGATTGTGGGTCAATGTCCATGACAGAGGCCGAAGCAATGCTCTGGTCGATATTTATTCTCGTATAATATCACTGGTATTATCACAAGGCACCAAATTGACATCTACTATTGTAGAAGTGACAACAATTCAAAAATAATAAATTGGTCATAGAGTCCTGGTAGGTCATGAAAGGAGGTTTTCAATGCCAGTTCCTTTACTGTTTCTTCTATTAGATTGTGCAGGAGTGACCATGAAGGAGTCTTCCTTTTATCTGCAAGGGGCCACATTGTTTTAGTTTTGGACTTTGTGCTGAAATTATTTAAAATCAGTTGTCCATTTTTCCCCAAAGGGAAAAAGTAAAAGAGGTTTGTAAATTGCTAGTTGGCAGAAGAGTTCTGATGAAGAGTCACTGGTCTCATAACATTAACTCTGTTTTCTCCCGCAGAAAGAACCGACCCCAGGGTCTAACAATTCAACCAGTGGACTAAAGACTTATAGTCATTCTGCAAATAACACTAAGGCATCATTGAAGAAAGGAGAACGAACTATGATACCAACCCATTTAACTTTTAGATTTTGGACTAGTGATACAGAATTATGTTCTTCAGATGATTCCCTCTTGCTCCTTCCCCAATCATAATATTTGTGTTTGTCTTTGTGTTATATGCAGGTAGGAGTTTTAAAAAGGGCAATATTTAAGTTACATAAATTAGAAATATTTTCCTTCTACCATTTGTCAAAATTATGCAGTTATAGATTAGTAATTCATCTGGTCTACTTTTTTCTTTGCTTAAAAAATGTCAGATTGTAATAAAAAGTTACTTGTTGTTAATGTAAAAAAAACTTTTATGTATATTGAATAACTACTGGAAACTGATGCACAAATTGCAAACATGTGATTAACTCTTAACTAATCACTGAAATGCAAACTTGCAGGATACCAAGGTGAACTTCATTTCCATGAATACTGTATTGTGGAAAAATTAATCAATGATTTAGGAATCACTTTTAAGTGGTCAGTGGGTGGTGGGCATTAGTTAGGATTCACTTTTGCACCTGTAGATAGGCACAGACTGAAACTGTGATCATTGGTTGAGCAGGTGCGTGCTCATACGTGGACATAAATTTCTATAGAAGAAGGTATAAGTTGGCTTTATTTTATTCTTTCAATTGACTTCTGGAGTACAATATGACTTAACATGAAAGTGTTTTCAAATTATAGACTGGAGCTCTTTGTGGAAGAGATTACTTTTTGTACCCATCTACTGCATTTTACTAATCAGCATGCACGTGCCTCTGAAATACTTTGGACCTCCCAATTTCCTAAAATTCAAATAATATCTCATCTATCCTGGTATCATCCAAAATGGATCACCTCACACCTACTTATGTTGAAATCTATTTGCTAATTTCATGCACTTAATATCACACTCTCTAAGTTTATGCTTCTAATACACTACTTTACTTAACATACCAACTATCTTTCTGGAATTGGCATACGACTTTCCATTTTGCTATCTAAGCTATTAAGAATTTTAAGTTCATATTTGAGGTCCCAGTACAGATCCTCGTGGCACACCGCTAACTTCTCTTTCTAATTACAGATCCATTAGCCACACTCCGTCTTTTAATACCTAACTAGTCTCCTAAGCAGCTGAATAATTGCCTTGAATTCCAAAGTCTTAATTTTAGCTACTTGCAGTCAACCTGTAGAATTACTGTATATCAATCATGTTAGTCATATACAAATGGTGGCTAAAATTCACCTGTGTTCATGCATGTAGGAACCAACTGAAAAAAATTATTGTTGGTTGGAGGTGCACAATATAGAGTAGGTTTCCCTTATGTAAAAGCTTATAAGGGATAAGCCTCCAGAGTTGTTTTCATCACCTGGATATCATTGAACATGCAAAAAGGTTTTGCTTGCTGGCAGTTAGATATATGTGAATTAACCAAACAACATTAACCAATATTCTCATTTTCCACTCTTGTTCAACAGATCATTAGAGAATTTAATTATTCCAGAAAACTCACCTGCCAGCCATTATGAATCTTCTGATTAAAAATACCAAATTCATAGCGAATTCCATAGCCATATGCTGCCAAACCCAGTGTGGCCATTGAATCAAGGAAGCAGGCTAAATTCAAGAATAAAAATAATTAGCTGAAATGCTAGCGTTCACTTTCAGTGGTACGTCACATTAATATAAATGGAAGGGTAGAGTTTTCATTCAGTGGCACTGGTTTTGCCTTTCAATTTGCCCGAAATTGGTTGGCCCAGCGCAAAAGATAGATGCATTTTAGATGTTACACCCAGTGCGAATTATTTAGATGGTCATTTGAGATTGTTTAAAAAGAAATATAGAGCTGGAAGCTGTACCCACCCAAAAGAAAAACTGGCTACAACATCCCAATTTGAATTAATCACTATCAAGCACTTCTGCCAAATGCACTACGTGCACCTTCAAGTAGCCTTTTCTTTGAGCTGAAGGATGTGGATTAATTCTAAAGTATTAGTTTGTATGTGTGTATCAAGAAGATCCTTGTAAAATTAAAGCTTTAAATACCTGCCAGTCGACCAAGACCTCCATTGCCAAGTCCAGCATCTTCTTCAATTTCCTCCAGTTCTTCAATGTCTAAACCCAGCTAGAGGGAGGAGGAAGGAAGAAAAGTTTCACCAAATAAAAATTAAACGTTTAATTTTTGTTAGAAATTCTTCCTGTTCTGTTAATATGAAAGCAGAATATGCAAATGTTGGAAATCTGAATTCAGACAACATCTGACTGAGATAGTAGGAACTGCAGATGCTAGAGAATCTGAGATAACAAGGTGTAGAGCTGGATGAACACAGCAGGCCAAACAGCATCCTGCTCCTCTGATGCTGCTTGGCCCGCTGTGTTCATTCAGCTCTACACCTTGTTATCTGTTGACTGAAATGAGGTTAATGTTTTAGGTCAAAGATCTTTCATCAGAACAGTTCCAGCACTTCCATCATTTCTTTTAAATACTCTTTTTATGTTTATTATGAATTTCAATTGGTTCAGGCTAAAATTACATCCATGCCCTTACATCCCTCTGACAAAATTTATGTATGAACAGTAAGTAAAAGCAATTTTTTTTTTATTGTAGCTCAAAAGATAATATTGCGCATACAGATTTAGCAGTAAGTTTCAAAAGGAACAGATAGACAGTTAAAAAGGAGAAATTTGCAGGGCAATGCAGAAAGAGCAGAGGATGCAAGAATAACCGGCTCGCTATTTCAAAGGGCCAAACATTCACCTTTTGTGCTGCAAGTATATATTGTAAGAGCAACCTTTTGAAATCTCTCTGTTCATTAGCTATATTGACTTACTTTAGCTATTGAAACGCGTGTAGATTTTCAATGTTCTGGAGGTTAACTACATTAATGTAACTTCCTAAGTAATAAACAAATGGTGCATCAGTAAAAACCTCTTCAGGTTGAAGTAGTATGCTCACAGCCGGTAGAAAACGGTGCTTACCAAGCCAACATTGAAGAACACCTAAGCATATTACTGCATGGAGCAATGAGGTTTAGAACAGAAAGCCGAATACCGTGTGGGGTGACTGGAGCTTACTTTATGCTGCACCATTTATTTGCTACAAAATGGGATTTTCATAGCACTGTGCAAAAAGGGAGCCAAAATCAATTTGTGTGTCAGTGATGTAATGCAATTTCAAGTTGCAAAATAGTTTTATGCAGATTATCAGCAGAAACGTATACTTATAAGCAGAATAAAACAAAATTGCTCCAGCATTAACCTAACCCACACTGCAGCAGAGTGGCTGGCCTTCCATTGACCAGCTTCCACCAATCCATGATTATCCTTATATTTGCTGACCTCCATTGGCTCCTGGTCCAGTTTCTCTGTGATTTAAAAATTCTCATCTTTCACTGTATTGCTCCTTGTTACCACTGCATACACCTTGAGCCCTACAAAACTCAAACTTCTCAGATGTTGGGTACTTGTGCATTTCCCACCTCATTGACTCCAACATTTCCAACTTTTACAGCCAAATTAAACTTCTTAATCTCTCTTCCTCGAAGAAGTTTCTCAAAACATACATTTTTGATCAAATATATGGTTACCTGTCCTAAGGACTCCTCCTTTCGCTCAGTGTCAATTTTTGACTGGTTTACACTACTACATAATGGCCTGGGATGTTTCATTTTATTAAGGGCAAACTGTTAATGCAGTTTGTTGTTATTTAATGCAGAAAGCATCTCACCCACTTTATAGAAGAAAAAAACAGATTCTCGTAGAATCACAGCATTCCCAGAGTGTAGAAACAGCCCATTCAGTCCAACAAGTCCACACCGACCCATCCCTTTACCCTATCTCTGTAACCCTGCATTTCCCATGGCTAATACACCTAACCTACACCGTCCTGAACACTATGGCCAATTTAGCACAGCCAATCCACCTAACTTGCACACCTTTAGACAATGGGAGAAAACCAGAGCATCCCAGTGGAAACCCAAGCAGGCACGGGGAAACCATGCAAACTCCACACAGACAGTCACCTAAGGTTGGAATTGAACCCGGGTCCTTGGCGCTGTGACGCAGCAGCGCTCATCACTAAGCCACTGTGCCGTCCTATACTATATTCCCTACAGTAAGAAGGGAGACTACTTAGCCCACAGACACTCCAAAGAGCATCACACCTAGACGCCTACTCTAACCCTGTGACCCAACATTTGCCATGGCTAACCCACCTAGTCTGCACTTCCCTGTACACCACAGACAATTTAGCACTGCCAATTCACCTAACCTGCACATTTCTGGATAGGAGGAAACCAGAGCATCCAAAGGAAACCTAACAGACATGGGGAGAACATGTAAACTCCCTACAGACAGTCACCCAAGGCTGGGATTGAACCCAGATCCCTGGCACCGAGTGAAGGCAGTGCTAACCACCGAGCCACCAGGCACCAATGCAGAAAAGTTAAGATTAATGACCAATAATGATGGGAACTAACAATGAAGGAAGAGTCAGGGTGGAATTTCCAAAGAGTCAGGCTAAGATGGCTGAAAGCTTTCTTGTTAAAGATAATTCAGAGGGAGGGGGAGATACACAGGAGACAGACAACCACAGGGTCAAGCCAGAGGGCTGGATAAGATCGCACAGGAATGCATGATGAAGCTAAGCAAAATGACTCAGTATTCAATTCAGCAATACTAGGGCCATACAACATCACATGGATGGTAAGAGATTCACACCAATTAGAGTTTGTCTCGATCGAACGTAAGGAGGCATTGCAGAAATGAAGTCAGAAAATCTAAATCTGAGACTGAGACAATATTGCAGCCATGAAATTAAACAATCATTTCTCATTATGGTATTTGAAACTGAGCTCAAAAGTTGAATGCAAGAAAGCAGATATCAAGATATGGAAATAAAAGTGAAAATAAAATCATAGCTAGGTGGGGAGTAAAGGATGGACAGTAAAAATCTCATTTTTAACAAAATACTATTGATTAAACTAAGAACTTCATCCTTCGATACTTGCCTATGCAAACCAATGGTGTCCAAAACAGAGTAGGTTTATTTTAATATGAAAAGGGGATTCTGTTCCTGGAACAGAATTAAACCCAAAAGACAGTATGATAATGGAACATCATGATGAATGTGTTCACTATATAATCCTAAGGTAGCTAGAACACGGCACAATCTAAGCAATAAAAAGCTCTGAATGTTACACTTTGGTCTAAAACATCTATGCATTGAACTGACTATGAACTAGGTAACACAGTACTGCAAACCAAACAACCACACTTGCTGTTGTTAAGCACTATACCTGATATATTGCCTCATCACTGGCATTCTCCAATCCCAAGTTCACCATAGTGTTCTGCAAGGTTCGGCCCATGTAGAACTCCAGAGACAGGTAATAGATACGCTGCAAAAACATAGGAGGGAGAAACAGTTTATTACAACAGTGAAGGAAGATGGTGATGGAAGAGTTACATTTATATTGCACCTTTCACGACCTTAGGGTGCCCTGAAGCACTTTATATTGAATAAAGTACTGCTGAAGTAACGTCACTATTAGGAAACATGACAGTTAATTTGTGCACTGCAAAGACCCACAAATATCAGTAAGATAATAGCTAGATGAATCAATTTTATTTATGCTGAGCAGAATATTATGCTGAACCCCAAAGTTCTGCTACTGATTTTCAAAACTGTGTCTAAATGAAACCCATTTCAAAATTCCAAATGACAATTCTTTTGTTCTTTCATGAGATGTGGGCCTGAAAAGGCATGGCCAGCATTTGTTGCCAATTCTCAACTGTCCTTCAACAGATTGGCTTACTAGGCTACTTTAGACAGCAGTTAAGAGTCACCGTAGTGCTTTTGGTCTGGGGTCGCATGTAGACTGGACCGGCAAGGATGACAGATTTCCTGCCCTAAAAGGACATTAGTGAACCAGATGGGATTTTACAATGATCAATGGCAGTTGACATGGTCATCATTAGAGCCTAGCTTTACATTCTAGATTTATTACCTGAATTTAAATTCCACCAGCTGCCATGGTAGGATTTGTGCTCCGAGTCAAAGCCCTCCTGCACAACTAATCTAGGTAATGTTACCAATATGCAAACGTCTCAGAGAAGTGGTTGCTCCCACAGCATCAGATGCAGTACAAAAAAAACGCTACAAAAACAAAGTTGCTGGAAAAGCTCAGCAGGTCTGGCAGCATCTGTGAAGAAAAAACAGAATTAACGTTTCGGGCCCGATGACCCTACCTCAGAACTAATGGCTACTTTACTAGAAGCAGGAGAACTGCATTCATTATCTAGAAAATATAGGCTGAATTTTAGTTGCAAGGTTTTGTTTCAAAACTTGGCTGAATTCCAGGAATGGAACCTGGGGGTGATCATGGTACAGTTGTGAAGGAGATCTGACCAATTAAGAGTGTTTCTCCAGATGCTCCACCCAATGAAAGATGGCAGGTCTACTCCACAATCTGGATGCCAATTCGGAGCAGTTAAGATTCTGGGCAACTAGCAACCCACCTGGAAATGTAGGTGCAATCACTGTCGGTGGGAAGCTAGTGAAGACAGTGGCAGATGGAAATACTCTCTGAAGACTTGTAAATAATACAAAATATACAATTGGCCATAGTTGTCAGGCCAACACAGCAACAGGAGTACTCTGCTGCAGAATGGTATGAAACTGCAGCTTTCCTATATCAGCAATGCAGATATACTTCTGGCTGTTGGCATGTTGCCATAATGTTGCCACCATTGCTCAATGGGGATCCATCTACCCTCAATCAATTGAGGGGACCACCTGGCTGTTCTGATACACTTTTCTCAGCTGCTTTACTGGGTATTATATTTTTTATGCAAAGAAAAAGCATCACTATCATTTCAAGTAAACTGCTAAAGGGTCAATTAATCAATCAATTGCTAAAGTGTCAACCAGCTTGATGTTCTTACACATTTTTAGTTAGGTCATGCAATTGTCATTCAAAAACTGTCATCCTTGATTTCATCCTTAATGATCTTCCCTCGTCATTTCTGCAATCCTTCGGGATATTTGCATTCTTCCAATTATCCTCTCTTACACATCCCATATTTATGGAAAGATGTAAATGAGTTGGAGGTGGCTCAGAGGAGATTTACTAGTTTGATACTAAAAACAAAAAAATGTTGGAAATCACAGCAGGTCAGGCAGCATCCATGGAGAGCCAGCAAGCTAATGTTGAGTCTAGAGATCCTTCATCACTTTTGTTTTCAGTACAGGTTCCAGTATCTGCAGTAATTTGCTCCTTTAACTAGACCGATACCTGGAATCAGTGAACGTTTCTGAAGAAGGGTCTAGAGCCGAAATGTCAGCTTTCCTGCTCGGCCTGCTGTGTTCATCTAGCTCTACACCTTGTTATCTCAGATTCTCCAGCATCGGCAGTTCCTACCATCCCTGGAATGAGTGAGTTGCCTTAGGAAGATAGGTTGGACATGCGAGGATTCTGAAAAGTGAGAGGTGACTTGCTTGAAATGTATAAGATACTGCACAGTCTTAACAAGATGGATATGGAAAAAAAAAATCTCTCTTGTGGGTGATTCCAGAACTGAGGGTCTAAGTTAGGGGTTACCTTTTTCGACAACGATGAGAAGAACCCTCTTCGAGGGTTGAGACACTTCGGAACACTCTGCTTAAAAATAACAGAAGTGGGGTCATTGGACATTTTTAAAGCAGTGGTAAATTTATTCTGTTACCTAAGAATCATCTAAGGTTATCAGGAGTAGATGAAATGTGGCATTCAAAACATAAACAGATCAGCCATGATCTAATTAAATGATAAAGCAGGCTCGAGATTCCATATGGTCTACTTCTGCTCCTATTTCATATGTTCGTAGGCTTGGGATTCAGAAACATAATTCAAAACACGTCATAAGATAGCACAGAAGAGAATCAAAAAGGCCAACGGAATGTTAAATTACAAAAGAATAATTATGTTAACTATGGTTGCATTACCTTTAAGTTAGAAGGTTAGGGTGTAATGTGATCGAAGTTTTCAAGATATTAATAAAGTAGTGATAGGGGAAAGAATTTTTTCCTCCATCTACCCAGTTTGGGAATTCTACAACTCAGGAGCAGAGGCCAGAAAAAAAGCAAAAGGCCTAAGAAAAGAAGTTAGGAAATATCTTTATAATTGCAGAGGGCATACTCCTAAGAATGGCAATATGAAAATATACATTTTGGGCTGCTAGTTAGTGATAACAAAAGATTACCTGGTTATTATTTCAATGTCATTTATATTTGACAAACACTACACTTCAAAAGTCATTGTCTGTAAAATGCTTCAAGAAAGCATTATAAAGTGCTACATTTGTGAAAGAACTATAAAAATGCAAAATTTATTTTTTTAAAAAGCCAATTACCTATATCATTTTTCAAACATTAAGTAATTCTTTCTTAAATCACTGGTCAAAACTAAAACTGAAATATGCATGTCGTCTCTGTTTCAAATACAGTCTCTGACAGGGGTGACACAGCCAATACTAGAAATTTCAGCTGGTGTTTTAACATCCTGAATTACACCACCTACATACACAACTGCTGCTAAGTTAAAATATAATCCAAAAGCCCAATGCTATCATTCTCACCCAAGCCAGACGTTTGCAGGTTCAAGCCCTCAATCAGTCATACACCACAAAACAAGACTCTTCAGTTCAGCTTTGCCATACTGACCACGTTTCCCAAACCAAACTAGTCCTATTTGCCTACATTTAGCCCATATTTTATCATGTACCTGTCTAAAGGTCTCAAGTGTAGTAACTGCACCTGCATCTACCATTTCCTCTGGCAGTTCATTCCATATACGTGCCATCCTCTGTGTGAAGAAGTTGCCCCTTGGGTCCTTTTTAAATCTCTCCCCTCTCACCTTATTATTATGCCCCCTAGTTTTCAGCTACCGTACCCTAGGGATAAAACCTTTGCTATTCACCTTATCTATGCCCCTCATGATATTTTAATCTCTATAAGGTCACCCCTCAGCCTCTAGCGCTAAAGGTAAAAGAAGTCCCAGCCTGTCCCCAAAACACAAACCCTCCAATCCCCGTAATATACTTGTAGATCTTTTCTGCACCCTTTCTGATTTAATAATGTCCTTCCTGATTTAATAATGTCCTTCCTGAATGTCCTGTACAGCCGCAACATGATGCCTCAACTCCAATAGTCAATGCTCTGGGCAATGAAGGAAAGTGTGCCAAACGTAGTCTTCACTACCCTGTTTACCTGTGACACCACTTACAAGGAACTAATGTTTGTGAACCCTTATGCCTCTGTTTGACAACACACCTTGGGGCCCTCCAATTAACTGTGTAAATCCTGCTCTTGTTTGTCTTACCAAAATGCAACACCTCGCATTTATCCAAATTGAATTCCATCTGCCACTCATTGGCCCATTGGCTCAGCTGATCAAGATCCCATTGTACTCTTAAATAACCTTCTTCACTGTCCACTGTACCATCAATTTTGGCGTCATCTGCCAACTTACTAATCATGCTTCATATAACCTCACCCAAATCATTTACATAAAATGACAAACAACAGTAGACCCAGCGCCGAACCCTGCTGAACACCACTGGTCACAGTCCTCCAGTCTGAAAAACAACCTTCCACCACCACTCTGTCTCCCACTGTAAAGCCAATTGGCTAGCTCTCCCCGTGATATAACTTTACTAACCAGTCTACCACATAGAACCTTATCAAAGGCCTTGCTAAAGTTCATAGAAACAACATCAGAGCTTTGCCCTCATCTATCTTCTTGGTCACATCCTCAAAAAACTCAAATTTGAGAGACACGATTTCCCCCGCACAAAGCCATGCTGACTATCCCTAAACAGTCCTTGCCTCTCCAAATGTGTATAAATCCTGTCTCTCAGAATCCCATCCAACAACTTACCCACCACTGACATCAGACTCACTGGTCGAGAGCACCTAGGCTTTTCCTTGCGGCCTTTTCTTAAATAAACAAACAGTCTAGTCTTCCTTACCCGTGGTTGTAGACAAATCTCTCTGCTGGGAACCATGCAATTTCTTCTCCAGCTTCCCACAACATCTTGGGACATAATTGATCAGGTCCTGGAGACCTGTCTACCTTTATGCTTTTTAAGGCTTCCAGCACTTTCTCAACTATGATGTGGACTGGTTTCAAGACACAATTCTGCACCCCCCACCAAGTTTGCTAGCCCAGGTTGACACTCCAGTGCATTTCTGACAGAGTGCGAAACTTCACGAACATCTGAATTAGCAGTAGGAGTAGGTCATTCAGCTCCATAAGCCTGCTCCACCATTTAATATTATCATGGCTGATCTGACTGTAACCTCAAATCCACATTCTCACCTGATAACCTTTTATAGCCTTACTTAACAAGAATCTATTTA